TCGTTCCAACAGGTAACGTCAATACATAAACACCAGTAAGTCAGTTATATAACCGGCCGTCAAGTTACAATTCGAACGTTCAAAAAGAAAGGACAATTACAGATTTTTATTATTATTGCGCAGTTTTAAATGCCAAGACATACAATGGGTCACTACATACCACATTCGATGCTATTTAGCTGTTACGTTCGAAATATTTTTTATGTTCCGTTTTTAGGAAATTTTTGTTCTGAATTTGTTTAAATTTAATGTAGACTCCCATGTAAGAAATACTGAAGTTGACGACAGGCCCAAATCTGCACCAAACTTTGGCATGTCGTCTTCAAGTTCCAATATTCTGTGCAATGACGTTTCGCTAAGTTATGCCCAATATTGGGCAATTAAGTATTGGCGAATCAATACTGATCGTGAGTCCAACATTGGACAATCTTGCGCTAAGGCCGGACCAAGCTTGGATCTATTGTGATTTCCTACGTGATGGGCTATTCACGGAGAAAACTAAATTTTTATGACAACTGCTGTAGAAATAGTAGAACTTATTAGGTAACTTGTAATAATCTTAATTTTGAAAGGTTTTTTTAAAAATTATTTGAAGTTTATTAATTATCAATTAAAATACCTAGTAAATTTATTTCTGCTGGGATTTTATTTTTACAAATTCGGGTCCAAAATGTACTTTTTATCATTTTTGCTTACGAAGCAACGAGCTAGTGGCATAAATTATAAATATAGCTTTAATATTTAAGTAAATTTTCTTTTTAAATTTTCTCCGTGTTCCTGAACAAATGCAAAAATATTTTGTAAAATTAGCGAAAAAGGAAATTTCTACGGTATAACGTAATTCTAGTTATTCACAAGGTTACTAAAGTTTGACGATGTATATATTGATGGTTTGAAATTTTTAAATGACCGCTAATGTCATCTGCAAGAAGGGGTCCATTAAGTCCTATCGTCGACCTAAGTATGGACCTTACACGTATGTATAAACGGTGTCCGCTCCGTAGTCATCAAATTGTTTTGCTCATCAAGTTAATGTTGCTTTCTCTTGTAAATTCGTCCAGGTGAGAATGAAATCTTTGGTGTGGGAACTGATTTTAGGTTTTCAAACAATCTTTTGTGTAATTTTAAGTTTTAGTAAGTACTCTATTTAGATTGGAGTAGTAATACAGTGACTTAATAACTATTACTTTTAATTTATTCCTAGTTTCCTAAATAATAATTCTTCCGCCAAAACATCCAACTTCAACAACCCTTCCTATGGTTCGTTATATGGATTTATATATTTTAAGAACCTGTAGTAGTTGATTGATTATAAGAGACTAATTCATACTTATTTTTTTGTTGCCTCATTTTTATTTATTTTTTTATAGTGATCTAACGGTCTGTCATCCGTGTGCAGATTTATTTAAATTCGTTCTTATTAGGTAGATACACTCGAGCGTACGGTTGTTTTAACTGACTACAATCAGTTGGACGGCAACTAACAAGTTCTTAAAACCCATTAGTTCTCCACAATTCGTGGTTTAACTAGAATAAGCGGAAGTACGTGTTATTACTGACACAATAATAAAAAGGAAACCATGTATTATCTGGTCGGTTACTCTGCCATGTCGAAGGTCGCATACAGCATAACGTGAACCGAAAGGCCCAAAGAAATTTGTATCGGCATAACACGTATCTTTGCGTACACAAGCAATGGTAACAGCAGTAAGTGCTGAATCTAGAATAATCTGTGACAATAATTATAGCAAATTTTTACAAATTACATGGTACAGCTAGTTCAGAATCTCATGGGTCTTCACATGCGTGAGAGACAGACCTTATATATTATTGCATTCATATTATTATACATTACGAAAAAATTAACTATGTGCCTCGTTGTACAACCAATTATGGAACTCCAGAAAAACTGTGAACAATTTTTGTGTTAGAAGTGTAAAAATAAATGAACGGGCAATGTTTTGTTACTGCGCTAGCCTAAGGTTCATGACATTCTGAAATACCTCTATCAAATCGTTTGAAGTAATGTTATGCTTTTTGGATAAATTGCATGTGGGTACCTTAATTCTATAGATTTTCAGTTAGTAGGGTACTTTTGCGGTTATCGTCGGTGGTAGGGTAACAAAATCAATGTTTTAAATTTAAATAATTTTGTTAAAAAGAAAACACGTGAGTAATAACATAATTGATTTTGATTAACAAAATAAGTACATAATACGATGAACATTCTCTTATCTCGCTTTTTTCTTTTAATCGGTGTGAATTTGCTTTTTCTCTGTTTTACTTTTAACAATTTATGTTTTATTTAGATATACTGACTTTTCTTATCTATCAAACTATAGGTAGTATTTGTTTGAAAAATAGTTTCTTTGTAGTAAATGTGCGTATTAACCGTTTAAAGTGGATGTAAATAAAACAAGCAGCTGGAAATTTCTATTGTTTTATTAAAGATACTTGATGAGTACTTATCGCAGTTTGAAGTAATGCAGATAAATGAAATGCATGCAAATGCATATTTTTAGTAGCATTTATTGTACACATATTTACAAAAAACAAAAACTATCACAATCCAAAATACCTTTAAGGATGTTTGGGAGGTATGTCAAAATGCTACGAGACAAATAAAAATTTGGAAGAACGTTCTTCAGTCACTTCTAAAACTCCTGTAAAAATTACAAATCGATTCACTAAACCGTTAAAAAGTTATTGAAATTTTTAAAAATTGTAATTTTACACGTCATTTTATGGAGATTCGTTAACCGAACAGATTAAATTTATTTTTATTAACAGAAAAAAACTACCAGAAATTTCAAACTTTTATAATAAGTACCTTGAACTCTGGAGAATCACTTTAGCGTAAGGTTATTCAAATTCACTAAATGGTTATCGAGGAAAAAATGAAAAATTAGCTGAAAATCTCGTTTTTACTTGATAATATA